CAGCAACTGCCATATACTCTGCTTCTGTGGTTGAAAGAGCAACACTTTTCTGTAGTTTGGACATCCAACTTACCGCAGTGCCTTCCACTGTAAAGACATATCCGGTGGTGCTTTTGTATGATTCTTTGCAACCACCAAGGTCTGCATCCGCAAAACCCTTCAGAATAACATCTTTCCCCTTAAAATGTAATGCCACTTTTGAAGTCCCCTTCAAATATCTTAGCAGCCATTTAACTGCTTCCCAATGTTCTCTCCCCGGATTGGACATAAATCGACTAACAACTCCCACTGCATGAGCTATATCTGGTCTCGTGCATACCATTGCATACATGAGGCTACCAACTGCGGATGCATAAGGAACTTTAGCCATTTCTTTCTTGTCATCATCTGATCTGGGTGACTGAGCTTTAGAAAGCTTAAAGTGACTTCCCAAAGGTGTGCTTCTGATCTTGGCATCTTTAAGGCTGAATTTCTCTAATACTTTCTTAATGTACTTTTCTTGAGATAGTGTTAAAGAACCATCTTTGTTTCTGAATATACTCATCCCGAGTATTTGCTTTGCAGCTCCCAAGTCTTTCATTTCGAACTCTTCAGACATCTGTTTCTTCAACTTGTTGATCTCTGACATGTCTGAACCTGCAATCAACATATCGTCTACATAGAGTAGTAGAATGATATAAGAACCCTTAAACTTCTTGATGTAACAACAATGATCATTGTCACATCTCTTGTAACCAACTCTTCTCATGAAGTTATCAAACTTCAAATACCATTGTCTGGGTGCTTGTTTCAGACCATACAAACTCTTCTTCAGTTTACATACTAGGTTTTCTTTGCCTTTAACCTGAAAACCCTCAGGTTGTATCATGTAAATGTCTTCATTTAGGTCACCATGTAGGAAAGCTGTCTTGACATCTAGTTGCTCTAGATGCAAGCCCTCTGCTGCTACAATACTGAGAACCAGCCGAATAGTAGTCATTTTCACCACTGGAGAAAAAATTTCATTGAAATCAACTCCCTCTTTTTGTTGAAACCCCTTGACTACTGATCGGGCTTTGTACCGTTTGGTACCATCATGTTCATCCTTGACCCTGAAAACCCATTTATTTTGAAGAGTCTTCTTCCCAACTGGAAGCTTTGTTAAGTGCCAAGTCTTGTTCTTCTCAAGCGACTTCATTTCATCTTTCATTGCTAGTTCCCACTGCAATGAATCTTTTAACCTCTTAGCTTCAGAGTAACACTGGGGTTCACCATTTTCTGTCAGGAGAATATAGTTGACAGATGGTGAGTATTTTTGTGGTGGTCTGATGACTCTGGAAGATCTTCTTAGTTGGACTTGAGGTGTGACCGGAGATTCTGGAGTTGGAGGACTAGTTTCTTCATCTTCAGAATCATTACTGGAATTATCCCCTGAGCTCCCACTGTCAGTTGAATCATCGCCAGATTCAGGGATTTCGACTGGAGCTTCTTTCTTCTTTTCAACACCTTCAAACTCAACATACTCCTTCTGATCTTCTGGACTTTTGTTGTTTCTGTCTTTGTATAACTCGGCTTCGTTAAAGGTGACATTCTTGCTTCGGATTATCTTTCTGCTTTCACTATCCCAAAGCCTGTAACCCATTTCATCTGACCCATAACCAATGAATGTGCACTTCTTGGTCTTTGAATCAAGTTTATCTCTGTCACCATCTTTTAACAAACTGTAAGCAGTACTACCAAAGACTTTCAGGTGTTTGAGACTTACTTCCTTCCCTTGCCACATTTCTTCTGGTAATTTAAAATCCAAGGGAAAACACGGTGAACGATTGATCAAGTAGGCAGCAGTGTTAACTGCATCGGCCCAGAACGTCTTGGGTAAACCGGCATTCAACCTCATGCTTCTAGCCCTTTCATTTAGAGTTCTATTCATTCTTTCAGCAATACCATTCTGCTGAGGGGTTCCTGGGACCGTCTTGATCATCTTTATCCCTTGCTTGGCACAATAGTCAACAAACTCCTTGCTTATGTATTCACCACCATTATCCGACTTCAGGCACTTTACCTTCAAATCAGTTTCATTTTCAACAGCAGATTTCCATATCTTAAAAGTATCAAATACATCAGATTTATTTTTAAGAAAATAGACCCATACCTTGCGTGTTGAATCATCAATAAAGGTAACATAGTAGTTTGAACCTCCTAGAGATGAAACTGATGTTGGTCCATATACATCTGAGTGAACAAGCTCCAACTTCTGAGCTTTCGGTGTCTTCCCCTTCTTAACAGAAGTGACCCGCTTTTGTTTCCCGAGAACACATGATTCACGAAATTCTGTTTCCACTTTCTTCAAGTCTGGAAACTTCCCATTTTGAGCCAACATCTTCAATCCCTTACTGGTCATGTGTCCGAGTCGTTGATGCCACAATTTAGATGGACTCGAATTGGCAGTTACGGCATGAACACCATCACTGGGTATCTCTACCATGTATAGAGTACCTTTCTTCTTTCCTTTTGCAATCACCAAGTTACCTTTGATCACTTTCCATTGTCCACCCCCAAAGTGAACATGAAACCCTTCATCATCCAATTTACCAACTGAAATCAACTTTCTCCTCAAGTTTGGGATAACCCTGACATCTTTCAATGTCCACGTGGTTCCCATAGAGGTCTTCACATCTACATCTCCAATACCCGTAATATCAAGCACTTGATCATCGGCCAAACTAACTTTGCCAAAATCACCTGTTCGTAGGTTTTTGACCGTATCTAGACATGAGAAAGCGTGGAAAGAAGCGCCTGAATCCATAATCCAGGATTCCTCTGAATTCTCAACACTACATATGAGAAATTCTCCTGATTCTTCTGAGGATACACTGTTTACTTCTTTCTTTTCAGCTTTTGATTTTGGACACTGGTTTCTGAAATGACCTTTTTCTTTGCAATTCCAACATTCACTATCCTTCCGGTTTTTGGACTGCCCCCTTTTTCTGGACTTTGATCTGCCTCGACTACGTCCTCTTTCGTTTCTTCTTCCTCTACTTTCTGTATGCAATAAAGAACTAGAATTAGAAGTCTCACCATTGCTTCTCCGTCTGATATCTTCATTTACAATCAAGTCACGAATGCTCTCGAAAGCGAGTTTGATAGTGCCGGATGCACTACTAACAGCTGTGACTGTGCCTGACCAACTATCGGGCAAAGATGATAAAAGGAGGAGTGCTTGTACTTCATCTTCAAACTTTATTGCAACTGAGGCTAAACGAGAGATAATCGAGTTAAACTCATTTATGTGAGCGGTAACTGACATGCCCTCCTTCATCTTGGTGTTAACTAATTGTTTGATGAGAAACACTTTGTTGGAAGCGGATGGCTTCTCGTACATGTTGGACAAAGCCTTAAATACTCCATAAGTAGTTGTTTCATTGACAATGTTATACGCAACACTCTTCGCCAATGAAAGCCTAACTACACCCAAGGCTTGTCTGTCCAACAGCTTCCATTCGTCATCGTACATTTCATCTGGTTGTTCGCCCAACATGAGTAAATGCAAACTTTTCTGGTACAACAAGTCTTCAATTTGCATTTTCCAAAATCCATAATCGGTTCCATCAAACTTGTCAATCTTGATTTTACCATCTTCTGCCATTTTGTAATTTTCTGAAACTTCAAGGGCTAAACTGCAACTTTCTGAAAGTTTAGGGGCTAAGCTGCAATTTTCTGAAAGTTCAGGGGCTAAACTGCAATTTTCTGAAAGTTCAGGGGATAAACTACAATTTTCTGAAAGTTCAGGGGCTAAACTGCAATTTTCTGAAAGTTCAGAGGCTAAACTGCAATTTTCTGAAAGTTCAGGGGCTAAACTGCAATTTTCTGAACGTTCAGGGGCTAAACTGCAATTTTCTGAAAATAATAAAAAAAAACTAGACAAAGCGTGCGTTTGCTTTGCGTGTGCGTTTCTTTTGCTTTTCAAATGCTTTTCCACTGCATGCGTAGCTTTTGGTGGAAAGATCCACTTGTTATTTATTTATTTTTTCTTTTGTTTCCACTGAGCACCACGAGAATCAGTATTCTTCTCCACAAGAAAAAATTGCTTCTCTACAATCCATTTCTTTTCTTCTTTCTTAAAAAAAGAACACCGTCTTTCCTTCTTCCTCGAGAGTCGGAATTGGTTCACGACGACGGAACCTACGGCGGGTTGAACGGTCGGCAGCGGCTGACGATGGTTTCTGATCGGAGCACTAGTTCCGATTCTCACAGGTAAGCGACTTCCTTCTTCACCTCAGCTGGTTCGTGTGAAACGATCAAGAGCCACAGCTCTGATACCAATTGTTAGGCTCGACACACGAGAATCACACGAACATACAACACACAACACACGCTAAACTCAAGAACAACAAGATTTATAGTGGTTCGGTCCAATCTCCGACCTACGTCCACTCTCGGTAACTAGGAGTTTATATTTCTTGGTGCTAATCTGCACTCACTCTGTGTTTTTTCTTTCACGCATTTTACAATACAAATGAGATTCATATATATAGAGTCTGAAATGATAATTAGACAAGAAAAGCAGACCATGAAACATGCAAACGGGAAAACTGGATCACCTCTCCTTTTCCACTTTTGACTTGCTTTTCAACCACTAATATTTGAGTGGTATCATGATTTCTGCCACTAATATTTGAGTGGCTTCACCTACTCAACAGATTTGTTTTTGCATATTATTCTAATTGTATTCATTACATCATGCATATTCTTCTTTACAAATTACAGGTCCAAGAACCTTATATCAAGTTTGACTTTTGAGTTAAACAAACTTTCAGTTGCGAAATAATAATCTTCCGTTTTTGTGTATAAGAATTGAAGTAGGAGAGATTATTGCATTGCATTTACTTAGATGTGGCGTCCCACATTGTGCAAAAATCAAATTTGTGATTGTTTTTACTCGTGGAAATACTTTTCATACAATTGAAATGAATCATGATAATTAATTTTGAGGAAACTTTAAAGATGAGGAAACTTTAAAGATGAGGAATCTTCAACAAGAATTCCATGCATATCATGGTATCATTCTTGGTGTCAGGGAGCATGTTTTTACAGAAAGGTATAAATATTAAATAAAAATAATAATGTACTGAACTTACATACAAACACACCCACACACATACTCATACACAGTTTAATGTTTTGAACCATTTATGCAGTGTTTCTTCTTTAGCATCATTCTTGTCCAATCATGAAACTACTTTTGTAACTCTTGGACAACGTGTTCTTGCAAGTCCTCTAAAGTAAGTTCAAAATTATTTAAACCTTTTTTTGTTCTTTATCCTAGGGTTAATTTTGGTATTTTGGTATTTTTTTGAAATATTTTCAGGGTTCGCATGCATGATGGATATCCTGATGCGTTTGATAGAGTGGTCCATATAACTCAAGGTGGTATTAGTAAAGATATTTACGCAGGTATGTATAAAAATAATAATATATTCACTCTTTATTTCTTATTTTCTTATTTTTCTTAATATATTTGATATAACCTTTAAAATTGATTTTTTTTAGTTTAACTTTGCGTCAAGGAAATATCACACACTGAGAATACATCCATGTATTTATTATTTTTGTCAAATAAAAAACAATTGTTTTTAATATTTTTTGACTTTAAAATGTTGTGAAGGATGTAAAGGGACGAGATGTTGGGCTGAATCAGATTGCTCTGTTTGAAGGAAAAGTAGCTGGAGGAAATGGGGAGCAGGTTCTTAGTAGGGATATGTACAAACTTTGTCAACTCTTTGGCTTATTCCAGATCATTTCCTTCTATTTTACAACAGTTAGATTTTACTTTTGCTCCATGGTAGTATCGTACACTACACACTTTTTTGATTAACTTATATTAATTTTTAAAAAAACTTTCCTAACAACTTTTGTGTTTTGATATGCAGTTAGAAATGATCACCATGTACGCATTTTTTTTTATTGAAAAATGTATTTGGCAAGTTTTAATTTTTTTATGTAAAGCTTCTCATTAGTGTTTTATCTAATTTTCATATATTTTTAGGCATTCAATCTAGAGCTGATTGCCAAATTTCTCAACAACACTGCTCTAAATACAGCCTTGATTACACAGTTTTTGTTCCAGATTTGTGTATTTACTGTTTTACCCATGGTTTTGGGTTTCATCTTAGAATTGGCATTCTTAAGGGTATGCTCGTCTTTTGCATGTAGATTGTTATTTACATAAATATATTTCTTTTTAAACCTTTTTTTTTAAAAAAAGTTCTCAGTTTTTATCTCTATTTTGTATTGTTCTTTACATTTTCTCTTGGGACAGGAACACATTACTTTGGTAGAAAAACTCTTCATGACAGTGCAAAGGATTGTTTTTTATTTTTTATTTTTTATTTTTACTTTCTCTATAATCATGCATGCAACTGGTACTCTCTAAGTCTTTCTTTCTCATATCCACTCTCTCTTTCTAGTTTTAATGTCTTTTTATAATCAAGGTGGATTAGTTGGTTCATGGCCATTTCATGGCTTTTTGCTCCTTGTTTAATCCATCTAGTGTCGAGTGGTAGAAGTGAGTTCTTTTATTCTTTTTAAAATTTATGCATCATTTTTTACATTTTATACCAACACATTTACCTTGTTTTATTTTTATCATTTTTAGGACAATAGAAGATAACGAGCATTCTTGTCATGATTTTGTATCGAAAAGTTAGCTGTAAAAACTGGTGATATTGACAACATATTTTGAACATCATTTGTTTGATATTTATTTTAATGATTTTACATGCATACAACTATAATGCCTTGATTATTGCTAGCTTGTGGTCCCTTGTGTTTTGTGTATGTTAAACATTATGTTTGTATTTTGTTTTTTGTTTTTTTTTACTTTATTTCTCTTCATGCTAATATATATGTTTGAATTGCAGATCTATCTTTTAGACATCCACATATTTTACATTAATATATTTTTTGTTGTTGGTTTCTTGCTTGGAGCTAGAGACTGTCTTGGTGAGGTAAATTTACCTTTTCGTCCTTGTGTACTCACATAATGTGTAAACCTCATTAGAAAGACATGCATACTTCTTAAGAAACTAATTCATAATCTATATTTCCATATCTACTAAAAACTAATTTGTTTTTTCTTAATGCTTTCAGATTAGGTCTTTGAGTTCTGTCCACAAAAACATTGAGAGGTTCCTCTTTCTAACAGGTTTTCTTGATCTCTTTCTGTGACATAATTTGTTGAATTATATTTTCTGTTATATTAATATTTAATTATACTTTGTAGGAATTCTCTTAAGGTAATTAATCAGGTTCTTGTAAAAGAGAAGTTTGATGCTGCTAGATATTAACCGTTCTAGAATGAGATTGTAAAGAATCTTAGAGAAGAAGATTATATTAGTAATTTGTGAGTTTTTGACTTCTATTACATGACTCTTGTTAGGTGAAATACTATAATTTTGCCATCATATTTTGATGTATTTTGTTATTTTTTGCGTACTATAAATTAATTATTCATTTTATTTTATTATTAAAGATAAAAATTATATAGATATAAATAGCTTAAATTATAGATTATCATATTTACGGATACAAAATATGACACAAAATATATTTTAAATATTTTTTTGTATGGTGGCAAATAGAAAAATACCACTAAAATCATAAAATATGTAACCAAAATTTGAAAAAAATAATTCAATCACGTGAGTTTTTAGTGGCACAAAATATGTGCCACAAAAAACGTTTTTTCTATTGTGACAAATAAATAAATGCCACAAACTATATTTTTTATTGTGGCAAATAAAAGTGTCACTAAAATCTTAAAATCTTAAAATGTGTAACTAAAAGTAGCATGAATTCTTCAATAATACAAGCATTCAATGGCATAAAATATCTGCCATAAAAAACTTTTCTTGTATTGCGACAAACAAAAAAATGCCACTAAAGCCTAAAAAATTGTAGCGGCAAAAACAAAATGTGTCACTAAAGGGTTTTAGTGGGAGCGTTTCTAGTGGCACATATTATATGTGTCGCGGATTCTTTGAAATGCCTTTAATGGCATTTTTTTTTTGTTTTTAGTGGCACTTCTTGTGTGCCACTAAATGACATATATTTTGTAGTGTGACATCAACTTATCTACCTCAACTTTACATATCTCATCTTCAGTGATAATCAGTATATGCTTGCCAATTGTCACATTATAATTCAAACTCATTAACAACTGATTTCATGAAGCACATTTGATTCCAATCCCTAGTATCAGTTTTTTTTTTTTGAAAAAAAAATATCTAATTTATTCCTTCCTAAACTACTTCTTAATTTCACCTATATCCACAACGGAACTTGAACCCTCAATCTCAATGAGGGAGGGCAACACCGGATACCAATGAGGGAGGGCATGCAACACCAGATACCGCTACTGCTCGGCTAGGAGCCTTTTGGTAATCCCTAGTATCATTTATCGCTAATTATAATTAGCAAGAATTAGTCAATATATATTATACCAAAACAGTGCATCTATCTCAAACCTGTGACCACAAATTCGATCCTTCAATCTATTCCACAACAGAGAACGCTAATCCAGTTGATTATATCAACAGATAGTTCTTAGTCCTGATAATCTCAATTCGTTATTCGGTTCTCACAACAAAGTCGTTCCTGTCTTTTTGATCTCTACCGCCAAAAAGTCATGATGAAAAGAAATATATTTAATAATTGGGTTTATGTACTTTTCAAACTTTATTAAGACTACAAATCTATTTCTTCAAATGTACTTCAAAATGTTATGGCTACCTTAAGATCACCATATTTTTAAAAAGAAAACCCCAATTCCATTTATTTCATATTTTATTCCAACAATTACATACACAAATATATCCGTATTAATCAATCAACACCCAATATATTGACTAACGTGACACCTCACATATTTTGAAGCTTATCCAGAATATGTTGCAACTCATGGACAACATTTTCGATATTCATCCGTTGTAGTGGGGACTCCATGGAGCATGATACTCCAATCTTGACAGTTGAAGACAAACATTCCTCTATTTTCTTTGCATGTGCTGATGTATATTGTGTAGCAATAGCATCCTCTTGAAGAAAATTCAGAAGATCATCATCAATAACATCAGTTACATGGTCTGGCATGACCATGTCTGCAAACTCATGAAGGCTAAGGCCTTCGTTAAAGATGTTGTCTGTGGGCCTCTTCCCTGTCATCACCTCCAACAATAGTATTCCAAAACTGCAGACATCTCCACTACTTGTTATCTCACTCCCAACAGCAACATATTAACAATTAGTTTAGAAAATTGAACACCATAAATAAATATAAGCATATGGGAATACATGAATTTTACCTGGTGGTGCATATCCAATTGTTCCTCTAATGCCACTTGTGCTGTTTTGGTTTGAATTTGTGCTGTTTTGGTTTGAATTTGTTCCAACATGGGCCACCATATCATCATCAAGTAGAATATTGCTAGGCTTCACGTCACAGTGAACGATGGTTGGTAGGCAGTGATTGTGAAGATAATCAAGTGCGGATGCGACATCAATGAGAATCTTTATTCTTTGAAGAAGATTCAGTTTGGATGCACTTGCAGTTGAATGCAACCAATCATTTAGACTCCCATTGGGCATGAACTCGTATACCAAAGCTTTGAAGTCATTTCCTTGAAAATCAACACTTGAACACGAAGTTATAATCTTCAATAGATTCCGGTGTCGAATACTTCGCCATGCTTCACACTCTGCCATAAAGCTTTTGTGAGCACCTCGGTTTTGAAGATGTATGAGTTTGACTGCAACAATTCTATCAACATGATCACCAAGGACTCCTTTATAAACAGAGCTGAACCCACCCTCACCAATCAAATTGTCCTCGGAGAATCCATTGGTAGCCTTTAGAAGTTGACCATATGATACTTTCATGAACCGTTCGTCCTTTGATGATAGAGATAGTTGGCCCTTCCTTTTCTTACACCAAACATATGCAAAACATGATATGGTAAAAAGTGTGGATGCAATCAGAATGAATATGACGAACAAAGGAAACCTTTTTTTATGTTTATCATGTGTCTCCTTGCATTTGGGCAACCCAAGTTCAGGCAAGCCACCACAAAGCCTACTATTTCCCAAAACAGAGAATGCGCTTGCATTGGCAAACACACCTTGGATTGGTACTTCACCCTCGAAATCATTAAAGGATAGTTTTACATATTCAAATGAGAACCGTCGCAAGAATTGAGGAATTTGTCCCGATAACTTATTATGAGAAAGATCGAGTGTTGAAACTCCTCTCATGGAGATTAATGACGAAGGTACCATGCCTTGAAAGAGGTTACCTTTGAGGGATAAGAATACAAGGCTAGTGCAGCCACCAATGCTATTGGGAATGTTACCTGATAAATTATTATTAGACAAATCTAGAGAAGTCAACATGTTGAGGTCTCCAACCTCTGTTGGAAGTGACCCAGACAGGTTGTTTTGAGAGAGATCTAATGCTATGGTTAGAGATGAAATTTGAAGAAGTTCTTTAGGTATTCTGCCACTGAGTTTATTCTCTTCAAGGTACAACTCCAATAGATGGCTACAATTTCCCAGGCTTGATGGAATATGCCATTCCAATCTGTTGGAACTTAAATCGAGTCTAGTCAATAATGACAAGTTCCCGATGGCATCCGGAATGGGCCCTGAAAACTGATTCTCATATAGATAAGCAAGTTGTAGCTTTTGAAGCTTACCAATGGTGGAGGGGATTTTTCCCGTGAATCGGTTCTTCCGTAAATATAATGTGGTCAAGCCTACTAGATTACCTATTCCTGATGGGAGGTGTCCATATAAACAATTTCCTCCTAGATCTAGATAAGAAAGTTGATCAGAAAGATTACCAATTGATGTTGGCAACACTCCTTTTAACTTGCACCTACGAACATCTAATGTATCTAATTTGCTGCAGTTTTTTAAAGAATCAATAAACTTCATATCATCAGCTTGTCCGGATCCATAGATGTTATCACCTAAGTCTAAAAAGACGAGATCTTTTAGACCAGCAAAGTTGATTGTCAACTTCCCCCTAAAATTGTTGTTGTTCACTTCGACAAGTTGTAATTTGGAACAATTAGATATCGAGGGTGGAAGAGGTCCAGTCAGTTGGTTACCCCATATCTGAAGGTACTCAAGATGAGGGAGCATTGCACCTAACAACGAGGGAAGAGTACCAGTAAGCTGATTCTCAGCCACGGAAAAATGAGTAAGGAGTGAGAGGTTAAAAATGGAATGAGGGATGACTCCAGATAAGTTACAAAGACCAACGCCAAACTCTATTAAGCTTTTCCATTGGCCTAACGTGTCCGGAATGCTCCCACCCAACGGATTGTAGGCTATGGAGCACACTTCCATGGATGTTATGTTCCCCAAGGCAGGGGGGATTCCACCTGTTAAGTAATTAAATCCAACTGCAAAAAGAGTAAGTTTCGGGAGGAAACTGATCTCTTCAGGTATGCTTCCGACTAAATTGTTATAATAAAGTCTAAGCTCTTCAATGTTAGAACAACCAGACAGGTTAGTTGGAATGACCCCGTTAAATTTGTTATGGCCAAGATTGAGGATCCGTAGCCTGGATAGACGGCCCAGTTCAGGTGGGATCATTCCTTCCAAGCTGTTGTTTGCGATAGAAAAGAAATGAAGGAAGCTGAGGTTCCCTACATATGGAGACAACGACCCTTCAAGGTCTTGCGAATACAGTCGTAGAGCAGTGACTCTTCTGTGTCGCTTCCCACATGAAACACCACTCCAATCACAGAAATGAAAGGAAGCATTCCATGAACTTAGAGCTTCATGTGGATCATGGGTGATCATCAACTTCAACTGCAACAAAGCCTGATAATCGGTTTCATTACCGCCACCCGAAGCAGAGATAGTGGCTGTAATCAGAAATATAACAAGACTAGAAAAGAGGAAAGCAATACTAGATTTCATTTTTTGTGTTGGATTAAACCCTCACTCCCTGATATGCTTCTGCATACGAAAGAAGAGAAAAAAACGGACCAACTGTTGGGACTGTATCACACGAAGAGAAGGAGAAGAAAAAAAGATTTTGGTGCGAATTTCTGTGTGTTTTTCTCATTCATAAAACTAAAAAAAGGGGTGGGGCAAGTCTCATTGACTGCTACATCTTGCCCACGCTTACAAACAAACACAACATGCAATATATATAGAAAGGCCACCACTCCTATACTAACTTACAAAACCGTATAGCCGACACTACTACTTAATCAATACTTTTAAGTTTTAAATGCTAAATAACAACCCGTGACTTATTCCTAAAGAAAAGACAGCA